AAAAGTTTGAAAATCTGCAAGCTGCCGATGCAACAGAAAAGAAAAACCCGTTTTCTAGGGATAAATTCAATTCCGCTGCAGAAATCTGCCTAAGTAATGAGGAGCTAAATGTTAATTACCAAGACAATGGGGTAAATGTCTGCAGGGCATGTCAGACACCTTCTAGCAGTCCTTTCCATCACAGGCCCAGTGGCCTAGGAGAAAAAAATGCTTTCCTGGGGCAGGTCAAGGCCCCACCTGATGTGTGCAGCCTTGGCACTGCATCCCAGCTGCTCCAGCCATGACTAAAAGGGACCAAGGTACAGTTCAGGATGTTGCTTCAGCGGGTGCAAGCCCTCAAGCCTTGGCAGCTTCCACATAGTGTTGGTCCTGCGAGTGTGAAGAAGATAAGCATTGAGGTTTGGGAACGTCCGCCTAGATTTCAGAGGATGTATGAAAAGGCAAAAGTCTGCTGCAGAGGCAGGGCCCTCATGGAGAACCTCTGTTAGGGCAGTGTGGAAGGGAAATGTGAAGTCAGAAACCCGACACAGAGTCCCCAGAGGGCTGCCATCTTCCATCCCAGAATGGTAGATTCACCAATAGCTTGCACTGTGCACCAGGAAAAGCCACAGACACTCAATGCTAGCCAGTGAAAGCAGCCAGGAGGGGAGCTATCCCCTACAAAGTCACAGGGGCAGAGCTGCCCAAGGCCGAGGGAGCTCACCTCTTGCATCAGCATGACCTGGATGTGAGACACAGAGTTAAAGGAGATCATTTTGGGACTTTAAGGCCTACTGACTGCCCTACTGGATTTTGGAATTGCATGGAGGCTGTGGCCCCTTTGTTTTGGCCAATTTCTCCCATTTATTTACCCAGTGCTTGCACACCCACTGTATCTAGGATGTAACTAACTTGCTTTTGATATCACAGGCTAGGCAGAAGGGATTTGCCTTGTCTCATATGAACTATGAACTTGAATTTTTGAGTTAATGCTGAAATGAGTTAAGATTTTGAAATGAGTTAGGACTATTGGAAGGGCATGACTGTGTTTTGAATTGTGAGGACATGAGATTTGGGAGAGACCAGAACAGAATGATAAGGTTTGGCTGTGTCCCAACCCAAATCTTATCTTGAATTGTAGTTCCCATAATCCTCACCTGTTGTGGGGGAGGTGGAGATAGCTGAATCATAACAGTGGTTTTCCCCATTCTGTTTTTGTAATAGTGAGTTAGTTCTCAAGAGATCTGATTGTTTTATAAGAGGCTTCCCCCTTCCCTGGGCACTTATTCTCTCTCCTGTTGCCCTGTGAAGAAGCAGATTGTAAGTTTCCTGCGGTCTCCCTAGATATGCAGAACTATGAGTCAATTAAACCTCTTTCCTTTTTACTTTATTATATATTTTTTGAGACAGAGTCTCACTCTGTCACCCAGGCTGAAGTACAGTGGCACAATCTGAGTTCACTGCAACCTCCACCTCCTGAGTTCAAGCAATTCTCCTGCCTCAGCCTCCAGAGTAGATGGGATTACAGGCATATGCCACCAAGCCCTGCTAACTTTTATATTTTTATTAGAGACAGGGTTTTGCCATGTTGACCAGGGTGGTCTTGAACTCCTGACCTCAAGTGATCCACCCGCCTCAGCCTCCCAAAGTGCTGGGATTACAGGCATAAGCGACCGTGCCTGGCATAAACCTTTTCCTTTTATAAATTACCCAGTCTCAAGGATTTCTTCATAGCAGTGTGAGAATGGACTAACAGTCTATGTGTCTATATTTTTATGCCTATACCATGCTGTTTTGGTTACTATATAGCTCTGTGGTATAATTTGAAGTCAGGTAATATGATTTCTTCTTATATGTTAACTTCTTATACATTAAGAATTATGATTCACAAACATAATTCTTAACATTAACATATAAAAGTGTTTCCTATAAAGTCAGGAATAAAACAAAGATGCCTATTACTACCAATCCCATTTATTCAAATTATACTAGAGTTCCTAGCCAATCCAATGAAAGGGGGAGAAGGAGAGGAAACGGGAGGGTAATGGGACAGGAGGGGAGAAGAAGGGAAAGGGACATGTGTGTACCACAACACATGTACAAGAATGTTTATACTAGCATTATTTGTTTTAGCTCAAAACTGGAAGCAACCCAAATGTCTGTCAACTACCAAATGGATATTAAATTGTGGTATATACTTTCAGTGGAATATCATTTTTAAAAAAAGCACAAACAACCGTCATATGCATAACATTGACATCTCTCACAAACAGATTATTACCAATAGAAGTCAGACACAAAATCCACACTGACTTCACAAAGGACAAAACTAATCTGTGGTGTTAAAGTCAATATAGTGGGTTATCTATCCTTACAGTAGGAGAGTAACAACTCAAAGGGACATATGATAAGTTTCCAAAATAGAAGTGACAGTCTATTTATTGACTTGGGTGATGACTACATGATTGTGTTCACTTTGTGAAAATTCACTGAAGTACAAACTTATGATTCATGTACACACTTTTCTTTATATACAACTCAAAAAACTAATATATATAAAAGTGACAAAAAAAAGATAGGATTCCCCCAGAAACAAACCCGATTAAAGAACTGTACAAGATCTTTTTTTTTTTTGAGACAGGGTCTCACTCTGTCACCCAGGCTGGAACAGCAGTGGTGTGATCACGGCTCACTGCAGCCTTGATCCCCTGGGCTCAAGTGATGCTCCCACTTCAGCCTCCTGAGTGGCTGAGACCACAGGGGTACACCATAACACCTGGCTAATTTTTGTAGAGACAGGGTTTCCCCATGTTGCCCAGGCTGGTCTTGAACTCCTGAGCTCAAGCAATCCAATCGCCTTGGGGGCCTCCCAAAGTGCTGGGATTATAGGCATGAGCCACCACTCTTGGCCTTATGCAAGATCTGTCTGGAGAAAACTTGACAATATGAGGGTAAATTTTATAAAGAAGAGGAGAAAGTCAAGAAGAAAAAGAAAAGTGTATGTGTGGTGAGGGGAAAGATTTGTACCACTAAATTTAACTTTATGACAGTATATCAGGCAGTATGAAATTTAGTGCAGGGAGAGATAAGCAGTTCAATAAAATCAAGAGCTCAGAAACAATATCATACATATAAAGAAACTTGACAACACAACAGGGGGCACTACAAATCCAGGAGTAAAGAGTAGGCTAATCAATAAACGATTTTGAAACAACTTGTTATCCATCTGGAAAGGAATCTTTAAAAATTAGGTTACTTCACACCATATTCAGAAATAAATTACCTTGAGATAGAGGGGTATTTCTTAAAGAAGACACAAGTGATAAAGGACTGGAAAATATGATATTAAAACTCATGTTCAACAAAGACATCATAAACAAAGTAAAAAGCAAAGAAGATACTTGTAACACATACTATAGACAAAGAATAAACATCCCTAATACAATAGGAAGAATCCAATAAATCTAAAAGAAAAAGTCAAACATCCAACTTCTGCAGCCTCTAACTCCTTACCTCAAGCAATCCTTCCACCTCCGCCTCCTGAGTAGCTGGGACTACAGGTATAAGCCACTAGGCCCAGCATTTTTTTTTTTTTTAAGAAACAAGGTCTCCTTATGTTGTCCAGAGTACTCTTGAACTCCTGGCCTCAAGCAATCCCCTTGTCTCAATCTCCCGAGTAGCTGAGATTACAGGTGTGAGCCACAGCACTTGGTTTAACCAACTTTTAAAGAGGCAATCAAAGAAGACAAAACTTAGCCCACAAAATATGAAAAATGCTGCTTATACACTGTAGTTACTATATACTGTACTAGAAAACTGCAGTACTGTAGACACCAGGAGCTCAAGTTTCTGGTTCTGCCACTAATTAGATAGGACCATGGACAAATTTCTCACAAATGTATCTCAGTTTCTTCATTTATAAAATGGTGAGATCTGGATTCACTAGATAATTGTAAGGATTTCTTCAATGGAAAATTACAATTCCTTTAATGGATAATTATAAGGATAAAATTAGCAAATGTATGGAAACTTTAAAAAATATAATGCAAAAAACAGATCAAAGGTTATTACTACTAACACTATTAACAGAATATAAGTCTTCTAAGTATTACTGTTCTTTCGGCAATTTGTTAATGTTCCTATTACAGAACGGGGAAGGTCTGCATGAAATCAGAAAAGGAGAATCAGTGGGGAAATATTCAGCAGCATATATCTAGCGCCATTCTTGGGAGAGGACTCCCTAACCCATCACTGCAAATTGTTGGTCTGACTGATAATTTTCTATCACTCATTCTTTCATTCCACAAAAGTTGTCAATACATACTATATCCAGGCCCTGTTAGGTGCTAAATAAGAACGACATAGACCCTACTTTCATCAGGTCCAGCACAGAAGACAGATCAACAATAATTAATCTTATATTTAATTAATTAATCACTGCTGTTCTAAGTGCATCAAAGGTAAAATAACAGAATGCACGAGTGCAGGTAACAGGGGACTTGACCTAGTCTAAGAGGTCAGGGAAGGCTTCCCAGAGGAAGTAGCATTTAAGCTGAGACCTGCAGTACATCAAAGTCTCATTCTTGGATGACATAAGCCATTAAGATCATCCATCTAAATCCATGGCTCTAATACCCACTTTGCCCGACAACCTTCTGGTCTTAATTATACTTCCAACATGCATCTTCCTATAAGGAGACAATATATTGATCCCTGCTACAAGCATTCTGGCTTGCTTGGCACTTATACCTCTAATTCCAAATCTAAAAAAAAGAAATTAGGCATTATCTGAGCTACCAAGAAAACAAATGAGGCAGCATAGTAATGAGAAAAGAAGCACTGGGTTATAACACTATCTCTGCCACTGTAACCTTTTAAGGCACTCAAATCAAATAGCTGAGGCATCATTTCCTCGTGTTGGCAAGCGGTAAATTCAGTACATCTGAGATACCTGCCAGCTGTAATTCATGGGCCAAATAAAAGAAAGGGTTGAAGTGGGAGAGAATGTCGCATGTCTCTACCTTTGGCTTTCTTGGTAGCAAAATGGCGGACTGGTACAGCTGGATAGGCCATGTATTGCCTATGGCCATGCTGTCTTTCATGCACTGTCTTCGGTGTAACTTCCAAAACAGGTCTGATTGAGGAAGCAAGGTAATTTCGAAAGGCAGGGTGGACCATGCGGAAGCACTTTAATCCCAAGACTCCCAAGGCCATGGCTGAAGACGATCCTTAGAAACATCCACTAAAAAAATAAGACAAAAAGCAGATCTAAGTAAAAGAGACCATATTGCAACTTCAGATAATTTGTACCAATTATCAAACAACTCCTATAAACTAAGCTAAGTACTAGGCAATTTAAATACATTATCTCTAATCCTTTTCCCAATAGCCCTAGAAGAAATGTTATTAGCCTCATTTTGCAGAATGAAGAAACTGAGGCTCACAGAGATTTAAGTAACTCGTCCACTTTGGATTCCAAACCCCAAGCCCTTTCCACTTCACCAAAATGCCCATTAATTTAGCAAACACGCAGCAGACTAAAACTGTAATGACGCTAATTAAACCCTTACACGAGAAAAAGCACAAAATCTTGATAAAAGTTTAAAGAGGAACGGCAGAGCACCAGAAGAGGACTTTAAATAAGAAAACCATCTCAACAGGCATAAAATGACTGGAAAATTCACACAACAGCATTTAATTAAAATTTTCTTTGGTTCCTTATGCACTGATTACCAATTAGAATGCCCTTTAATGTGAGTCTAAAGCATGATTGAGGTTTGAGGTCTTCCATGGTATAGAAACTAGAGCTCTGGAAAATGCCACCCTCCACTGTGTTAACAGAAGTTAGGCATTCTACAACTGAGGTCTCTGACCGTGGAAAGATGCCATCGCCTACAACTACCTCAGGATAGAACAAGCACAGCCCTAGCTAAATGACAAATAGATCATTAATAGCGTCTGCCCATAATGTTGCTAGGTTCAGCTAAAAATTAAAAACAATTAGTATCAAATACCTGGAAGCTGCTTCTTTTGCGTAGCAGTCCCATGCCTTACTTAAAAAAAAAAAAATCCCACCCTAAAATTTTGATGCAACATACAGCAGTGAATGAGAGCATGGGCTTTGCCGCCAGGAAGACCTGGAAGCCAATCCTAGTTCCATCGCTGACTAAATACTCCAAAATATTTCTGTCCCTTGATTTCCTCAACTCTTAAATGAGAATAATTATACTTATTTCTTAGGGTTGGGAATAATTAATGGGGTTATGCAGGTAAAGCCCTTGACACAGGCCTGGCAAACAGCAGGAGCCCCCAAAATAATAACCTGTTGATAGCTATCACCTTTTCTTTCAAAAACTTTTTTAAAAATATTATCTTTATTATCTTTTTTAAAGACTGAGTCTCATTCTGTCACCCAGGCTGGAGTGCAGCAGCAAGGTCTCGGCTCACAGCAACCTCCGCCTCCCAGGTTCAAGAAATTCTCATGCCTCACACTCCCACGGAGCTGCCTCAGCCTCCCTAGTAGCACACGCCACCATGTCCAGCTAATTTTTTGTATTTTTAGTAGAGACAGGGTTTCATCACGTTGCCCAGGCTGGTCTCAAACTCCTGAGGTCAGGTAATCCATCTGCCTTGGCCTCCCAAAGTGCCAGAATTACAGGTGTGAGCCACTCTGCCCGGCCTCAAAAACTTTTATGCCAGGATCAGACATGATAAAGAAACTTGGTATGTTACTAATAATGTACAAGGTAGCCCACAATCAGTCAGACCTGATGTAAATTTCAACTTGAGGCAATTAACTCTTCTTTCCTGGCATCATTTTCCCCATCAATGATAAAAATAACCTTGACTTTAAAATAAAATGAAATAATGAATACATGTAAAACAACTAACATAGTGCCAGGAATATAGTAGCTTAATAAATAGTGGTTATCATTATCATTTTTTAAAGCAAATGAGTAGCACAAAGGCAAATAATTTCTCATGATGGAATTTTTAACAGTGAGGGATACTAGAAGTTAGTGATCAGTGTATGAAGTCTATAAAAACAGATGTGATTTTAAAAAAAGGAATATTTTTCTTCTTTATTAGTATCAATAGCTACTATCAATTGAGGTCAAATTTGGACTGCTTGCTTTAATTACATTATTTCACTTAATCCTCTCAATAATGCCACAAAGAATGTATAATAATCCCCATTTTAGATGTTGAAACTGAGGTTCAGAGAGATTAAGTCACTGTTCAAGGACATGGAGCTAATAGCCCAGCTCTATTTTCGTGGAACTGTTCACAGAAGTTTGGCTCAGAGTGAAGTTTCTATATCTAGGTTTTTCCCTAATAAAATCAATGCCTAACTCATACTTATAACCAAATATGGCTGTAGAATAACGTGTAGTTTTTTATTTTTGTCTACAGAGCCTTAATCTGGCTGCTCCGTTTAAGACAGGTTTCCTGGTGTGCCTGTTGCAGGTCATAATACCAATTCACAAAGCAACAGGAAATCAAAATGGGTTAGAAATAAACAACCTTTGACAGAAAACGCAGCACCCAAAAGCAGACCCAGTACACGTGAACCGGAAGACAACTCTATAAATAAACCACATTGCTGAAATGCTTTAGGCGTAGATTTTCATTGCACAGAAGTCAGGAAATTTCAAAGTGGAAGTTCGATAAAGGTGGTCCTTTACCTTAAGGGTATGCAAATTAACATTCAATTCAGCACAGATAAAGAATTAACGTTGAAGAAAAATTTATTGAGATCCCAAGCATTAGCCAACAAAATTAACCTAAACATAGAAGCAATGTGGGGAAGTGTCTGAGCTTTGAACATAGTCTGGAACTGAAATCTCAGTTCCCCCACTTACTAGCTGTGTGACCTTGGGGAGGTCATTTAGCCTCTCTGAGCAGCAGCTTCCACATCATCATTATAGTGATATTAATAAGGCTTTAAAAAGATAACAATAATAATGACAATACCTAACATTTATATAACTATGTGACAGAAACCATTCTAAGTGGCTTACACATATTAACTCATTTGAGCCTCATGACAAACCTGAAGTAAGTACTATGATTATTCCCATTTTACAGATATGAAAACAGAAGCACAAATAAGTACTCTGCCCAAGATTTGAATTCAGGCAGTCTAGCTCCAGAGTCTATGGTATTAGCCACTATACTATGCATATAAAATACTCAGCATGGCTGGGAATGGTGGTGGGCACCTTATAGTTCCAGTTACTTGGGATGCTAAGGAAGGAGGATCACTTGAGACCAGGAGTTCAAGGCCAGCCTTGGTAACACAGTGAGACCTAGTCTCTTTAAAACAACCACAACAAAACACATACACACAGTACAATGCCTGGCATCCAGCAGGTACACAATAAACTGTAGCTATTATAACAGCACCCCAACTATTGAATTTTTGCTGTTGAGACAGACTCTCACTGTCACCCCGACTGGAGTGCAGTGGCATGATCTCGGCTTACTGCAACCTCTGCCTTCCAGGTTCAGGCAATTCTCCTGCCTCAGCCTCCTGAGTAGCTAGGACTATAGGTGCCCACCACCACGCCCAGTCAATTTTTGTATTTTTTAAGTAAAGATGGGGTTTCACCATGTTGGCCATCCTGGTCTCGAACTCCTGATCTCAGGTGATCCACCGGCCTCAGCTTCCCAAAGTGCTGGGATTACAGGTGTGAGCCATTGTACCTGACCTGAAATATTTTTTAAAACTACTTGAAGCACATATTATTTTTCCAAAGTTGAGGGTTGCAAAACCTGGATTTCCCTGTCAGAAGGTGCTTTGAATTTTGGTTAGATGATGAACCCAAAGTCCTGGCTTATCTACTGTCCCAGCAACTCCTTTCAATCCAACTGCATACTAGCTTATAACATAAGCACTTTTATGAGTGTGCACACACCCAGGCCCTTGTATATAAAGTACTTTCACATGTATCATTTTATTTCTCATAATAACTAAAGAGTGATAATCACCACCCATATTTTACAAAATAAGCAAAATGATCTTTCACTTATCCAATGCTCCCCCTGCTCTGGGGTCTTCAAACATGCCATGGAATCTTCTTGATAATCTTCCCTCACCTCTTTAACTATCGCCCATTTTTATTTCAGATTTCAGCTTAACCATCACTTCCTCAGAAAATGCCTTCCTTGGCCATCTCCTACGGCATAACTAGGTCAAGTGTTCCATAGCCTGCTTTTATAACACACTTTACTTCATCATAGCACTTAATTTTGAGATGAAGTCTCACTCTGACACCCAGGCTGGAGTGCAATGAAGGAATCTCATCTCACAGCAACCTCTGCCTCCCAGGCTCAAGTGATTCTCCTGCCTCAGCCTCCTGAGTAGCTGTGATCACAGGCACATGCCAATATGCACAGCTAATTTTTGCATTTTTAGTACAGACGGGGCTTCACCATGTTGCCCAGGCTGGTCTTGAACTTCTGACCTCAGGTAATTCCCCCCCCAACACACTGCCTCAGCCTCCCAAAGTGTTGGGATTACAGGCGTGAGCCACCATGCCCAGCTCATAGCACTTAATTTTTAACAGTACAAGCTAACATTTGTGTAATTATTTGATTGTTGTCTAATTCCCTCCATATGAGTATAAGCACTACAAGGACTAACCTATGATTTTCTTGTTCACTGTTGTATCCCCAGTACCTGGTACACTGCCTGAACACAGAAAACACTGTAAATGTGATGAATACATAAGTGAAAGTCCAGAAAGATTAAGTCCTTGTCCAGGGTCAAGATGAGGGAACCAGAATCGGATTGGAATTTACCCTTACTACGATGGTAGGTTCTGGACTTCCCAGCATTGCCTCCACTGTCTCTTGGTTTGCCAGATTTTTGCTTAGAGATAGTAGAGCAAGCTCTTCTCTAAATGCAGTGCCAGCTAAAGAAAAGTAGTTGTAGTATCTGACTATATACAAAATCCATATGCACCTGGCATGGCCAAAGAAGGAATTAGACACTTTAACAGGTACAGAAAGGGCTTTTGTCTAAGAGTTAAGAGATCTGGACTCCAATATTCCTTCCTTATCACTCCCTGCCATCTACCCTTTATACTCATAATCACCCGTATTCAAAAAGCATTTGTGGCAGCTCTACCACTGACTTGTGACTACCAAGTTATTTCTCCTACCTAGATTTTTTTTCAACCATAAAATGAAGGCGTCCGATCAGGTGTTCATTCTTTCCAACTATAAAGCTTTCCAAGATTGGGGAAAATGCAATAGTGTGGTTAAGAAAAAAAAAGGCACTAAACTTAGAGAAGACTCGGGAAAGAATCTTGGTTCCAGCACTTCCTAGACACGTGACCTTAGATAGGCCTAACTACCTGGACCTGTCTCATCTGTAAAACGTAAATGACAATACTATTTATCAGTTATATAAATGGAGCAGGGCTACTAAAATGACAACTGTTTTGCCACTGGGTGGCACAGAGTAGTGGTTAAAAGTTCAGGCTTAGGAGTCGGATAGACCTAGGTTTGAATTTAAGCGCCCTCACTTTCTGACCGCGTGACCCTAGCGAAATTATCTATTTGAGCTTCCGTTTCTTCATTATTGGAGATAATAACAGCTATTCCCTCTGGACTGGTCTAAAAACCAAATGTTCCCGTCGTGTGTGACCACTCTTTAGTAAGTTCCCCCAGCATCGCCTAAATTCCTAGCTAGTAAAATGAGCCTCGCCCCCAACCCATGAGACTCGCTAAGATGCCACAGGCCCCGCCCCCAGCCTTAAAGGTCAAGCTGGGCTCGAACAGGTCAGGGACGGTAGTCTGGTCCCCTGAGATCCCCCAGAGGTCCCTGAGTAAGGGTCTCTGGCACCCAGACCACACGCGCGCCTCGAGGCCCTGTTAAGGACACTCACCAGCTATCGCCCAGGTTACTAGGAAAGACTCGTGCGACGGCGGCGACCGCAGCGGCGCGGGCGTCGTGACGTCACGGGGCGAGGCGGTGGCGCAGACGTAAAGCGTCACGGGCGGCCTGGCAGCTGGCGGCATTGAGGCGGACGCGTCCAGAGGTCCGTGTGACCGCGGAGTGGGGACCTGGTTTCGGGGCATGAGCTGAGGGCACCACGCCGAGGCCACGAGGTGAGTCCGGCCGGGAGGTGTCCCTGCACTTCGGCGATGGGTCCTCAAGGAGGTCTTAACAGGAGGCCGCCTTCGCAGGACGGCATCTCTGGCCCCGCCCCGGATTGTCCTGCCGCTGGCCCGGAAATAACAATCGAGTAATGACCCCTCGCATGTGGGAATTGGCAGCCAGAAATCGGGGAGCCAGGGTTCCAGGCTTGACCCCACCACTAGCTTTTAGGATCAAATGTCTCTTCTTCTCTGGATTGTACTTTCCCCAGACGACTATTTCTGGCTTCCAGGGTTGTTGCAGCTCAGCTGGAAGGATAAATGTAACCGCGTTTTGTGAACTCTGGTAATCTAAAGGATTGTTGCTATTGCAAACGCAAAGCATTTTGATAGTCCCATGCCGTCTTGATCTTTGTTACCCTTTACCGTTTCTCAAGAAGCCATATACTGAGCTGTCATCAAAACTGTCTCATTTAAGACTCACAATGACCTCGTGAGACAGGGATAGTTGTACCCATTTTAGGAAGGAAAAAGAAACTGAGGTTCTTTTTTCAGTTGGAAAATGAAGAAGTGGCTTGCTTCATTTAGTAAATATTGAGTACCAACCGTGAGCCAGGCACTGTACTTAAGTGTTAGGAATAGAACCATGATCAAGATAGGCAAGATCCTGTCCTGTTCTAGTGAAGAAAACAGAAGAGAAAACACTAAGTAATACGTTGAATTCGCATTAGGTAGGAGGAAAAAGGTGGAAAGGTGGCTATGATATAGACTAACAAGGGGCTGTGTTAAGAAAAGCTTTTCTGTCGAGAGGATGCAGGAGGATCGTGTGAGCCGGGCGCAGTGGTTCACACCTGTAATCCCAGCACTTTGGGAGGCTAAGGTGGGTGGATCACGAGGTCAGGAGTTCAAGACCAGCCTGGCCAACATGGTGAAACCCTGTCTCTACTAAAAATACAAAAGTTAGCTGGGCGTGGTGGCATGCGCCTGTAATCCCAGCTACTAGGGAGGCTGAGGCAGAATTGCTTGAACCTGGGAGGCACAGGTTGCAGTGAGTGGGGATTGTGCCACTGCTCTCCAGCCTGGGTGACAGAGTAAGAATCTGTCTCAAAAAAAAAAAAAAAAAAAAAAGAAAGAAAAAGATTGTGTGACTTGAGAAAGGCACAGTAACTAGGTGCAAAAGTCAGGATTTGAATCCAGACCCGCATATCCTGCACTTTTACCAGTAAAACATTGTACCTTTTTGTGGCAATAAGTATTAATAGCCATTGGTATTATTGCTGATTTTAGACAGGAGAAGATCAGAATGTCTTATCATTCAAGTCTCAAATGTCATCTCCTTTAGAGAGACTTTCCCTCCACTCACTCTAAAGTCATCTAGCCCCCTTCACGTCACCCTTCTTGTGTTTGTGGCATGTGTCACTAATTATATCTTCTTTATTTTACTTTTGTTTTGTCCTGCTCCCCTTCCAAATACAAGTATCCAGAGGATAGGGACCTTGCTTGTTCACTGCTCTGATTCCAGTAACTAGATAAGGCCTAGAAAATAGAAACAGTAAATTTATTTTTTGAATGACTGATTTGTGTAAAAAGGAGGGGGAAAGGAAAGCAGAGAGAAGACAAAATGGTTCTCCCCTGGGATTCTATTTCTGTCTTTCACCTTCCTCCCATGAGGTAAGAACAAGAGCTGTGGCTCATTCATTTCTGTATTTCAGTACACAGCCCAGAGTTTAACAGTTCCTAGTTGCTTGATTTACATTGCTGAACAGATTAAAGATGTGAGGGGGAAAGGAAGAAAGATTCCCTCATGTGCAGGGGGTAGGTAGACGTATTCAATAACAATTACTTAGGGACTGCTGTGCTAGACTTTATAGGGTGTGCTGAGATGATTAAGAGGTAATGGCAGTTGTTGTTACTGACCCCACAGTTCCTGTAGTGCTGACCTCTGAGATACTTCTGGGTATAGGACATGTGTTTTCTAGCAGGGTCATCTGAACTCTGGCACAGCCTGCTGTCTTCCCAGCCCCTAAAGCTTTATTTTACATCTGTCATCTCATTTTGGGTCCTCGAAGCCTTAAGTTATAAACAGGGCAAAATTTATTAAAGATGGGGAAACTGAAGCTCAGAGAGAAATAACTTTGAGTGGAAATGCCACAGTTTTTGCTGGGCATGCTGGCTCGCACCTGTAATCCCAGCGCTTTGGGAGGCCGATGTGATCCCACTTGAGGTCAGGAGTTCAAGACCAGCCTGGCCAACATGGTGAAACCCTGTCTCTACAAAAAATACAAAAATCAGCTGGGCATGGTGGCATGCACCTGTAATCCCAGCTACTCAGGAGACTGAGGCACAAGAATCGCTTGAACCCGGGAAGTGGAAGTTGTAGTGAGCCGAGATCGTGCCACTCCCCTCCAGCCTGGGCAACCGAGTGAGACTCCTTGTGGGGGAGGGGGCAGAGAAGAAATGCCACAATTTGAAACAATGTCGTCTGACACCAAATTTTCTGTTCTTTATACTGCTGCCTCCATCATAATTATCTTTTCTCTTTGGCTGTGAGATGGGACATTTCGGGAACTAAGACTAGTAATAATTTAATATTAGTTGAATGCTTCCTAGGTGCCATGCACGGTTCTAAATGCTTTAGATGTATTAACTCAGTGAATCTGCACCATAATTTCATGAGACATTATCCCCATTTTACAGATGAGGGAATTGAGGCCACCAGTGGTTAAATAACTTGACCAGGGCTACACAGCTACCAAATGTTGGAACTTGAATAACTAAGGAGAAAATTAGTCTCTTCTTCCTGGTCTGTCTCAAAAGAGTTAAGCATGATAATAGCTCGTATTTATTGATTACATATGTTGTTAGATACAGTATTTAGTGATTTTTTTCTGTCTTTAATCTTCACAACAACTCTATAAAATAAGCACTATTATTTCTCTAGATAATGAGGAGACTGAAACCTAGAAAGTTCATCAAGTCACACAACCTGCTTTCAAACCCTGTTGTATCTATGCACAGATTTCTTATATTGCCTCTTCCCTTTACTGTATTGCCTATTCCAAGAGGGAAAGGGATGGAATGCTGCTCTTCCCTAGCCATCCCTTTTAATGCCATTGAGACTCTTCCTGGTGGTTTCCAGGGCTTATTTTGGGTGACAGTTGTTGAACTGAGGTATCACGTAGTAATAGAGACTTTGGCCTCCTGCCCAGTCAGCGTCTGGCTTCAGAGGAGGAAAACTTTAGTTTCTCTACACAGAACCACGCCCCTTTCACCTTAAATGGCAGCTTGTGTGCTCTGGCTGCCAGAGGGGTTATCCCAAGGGAACTGGTTCAGGGGCCCTGGTTGTGGAATAACTGAGGCTTTTGAAGGACTGCCCAGAGGGCATGCCCTCCTTGAATAAATGTTTGCTAAGTTGAATTTGAAGTCTTGTGTTCACACATTGTTACTCCTCTCCTGCTTGAATGTTCACATTTACTTTAGTATTTCATAGACATTGATGGAAGCAGAAACCAAAACTCTTCCCCTGGAGAATGCATCCATCCTTTCAGAGGGCTCTCTGCAGGAAGGACACCGATTATGGATTGGCAACCTGGACCCCAAAATTACTGAGTAAGTCTAAATTACCTTAGTGCCTTACTTACAATATTGGGATGTTTAACCGTGATGATGTCAAGAAGAATTTTCAAGGGATGTGGGATATAGTTTGACCCTGTTACTTACATTTTGTCTTTGAAGAGATAAGATGTTGTTGTCAGCCTGTTATTTTGTCATTTTTCTTACATTTGGACTCTGCTACTGCAGGGACACAGACTTGGGTATCCTTTAATCTATATACCTATTTTTTCCTATCTGCTAAAGATGTTCCCCCATTTCCAGCTATTTGAATCTTTGTACCTAGTGGCTCTAGGGAATTATTCTCTAGAATCAGCCTTGGGCATACATTTGTACCCAGAATTAAGGAACATGCAGAAGTCTTGGTACCTTTGCAAACAGGCAGAGGTGTACAACTTGACTGTAATTCATATTAAGCAGCCATAGAACTATAGAAGGTCAGAGATATAAGGAACCTTAGAAATCATCCCTGTCCCTTTGGTTTTCATTCATTCATTAAATGATTTAAGTGCCGTGCTAAGCAGTTTTCAGACTTCTTAAATCTGAAGAGCCCTGTCTTTAGGTAAAAGTAATCATGAAGCTATATATAAAATAAGAGCCCAGAGTTGCTCTGACTAAAAGGGAAAAGATGGAGCCAAAATCTTTTGTCAACTACTAGCCTTTCTTTGGCCATCCCTGTTGAGGCTTTGTAGAACTTCTGGGGCTCCATGGAGCACACCTGACAACCTCTGATGGGACCCAGGCTTTTTATGCTACTGTAGAGGAAACCAAGTCCCAAAAGACAGAAGTACCTTGCCCAAGATCAGGAAATTAATTGAATTGCCCTGACTCCCTGCTCTTTTACATCACAGCCATTGAGATGAAAAGGAATTTCTTAGCTGAGAAAATTGAGAGGTTTTTCCCTTCTGCCAGTTGTTTGATAGGGGGAGGGTGGTGGTTGGTGGCAGAGTAGAATGAGTGGATTGGCCTGAAACAATGCTGAAAACAAGTTTTTTTGTTTCTTTTTGTTTTTCGAGACAGAGCCTTGGTCTGTCGCCCAGGCTGGAGTGCAGTGGTGCGGTCTGGGCTCACTGCAACCTCCACCTGCTGGACTTCAGCAATTCTCGTGCCTCAGCCTCCCGAGTAGCTGGGACTACAGGCATGTACTACCATAACGGCTAATTTTTGTATTTTTAGTAGATACGGGGTTTCACCATGTTGACCAGGCTGATCTTGGCTTCCTAAAGTGCTGGGATTACAGGCTTGAGCCACTGTGCCAGGCCGAAAGCATGTTTTGAGTATATCATCAGTCACATGAGTGACTCCCTTCGGAATAGTGTTAAAGACGAGTGGAGGCCAGGAATAGTGGCTGATATCTGTAATCCTAGCACTTTGGGAGGACAAGGCGGGCACATCACTTGAGGTCAGGAGTTGGAGACCAATCTGGCCAACGTAGTAAAACCCCATCTCTACTAAAAATGAAAAAATTAGCCGGGCATGGTGGTGTGTGCCTATAGTCCCAGCTACTTGGGAGACTGAGACGCAAGAATCACTTGAACCCGGGAGGCAGAGGTTGCAGTACTCGGAGACTGCACCACGGCACTCCAGCCTGGGCGACAGAGGGAGACCCTGTCTCCAAAAAAAAAAAAAAAAAAAGATGTAGGGAGGAGAGAAGGAAACCTGCTTCTTTGAGTGTGGGATGGGACAGGTATATATGAGAGTTAGGATTAGGAAAGAGAAAAAAAGGATCTAAACATAAATCAGGATTATAACAGAAAGTCCCTTAAACCTGCTCAAGCTCATAACAGCCAAATGTAAATATATTTGGGCCCCTGTAGAAATTATGACTGTATTTAAGATGTGTTGCCCACACTGTGTTATCTTGGTCACAGGGACCCTGGAGTAGATTGCGTTTATTTTGGTTCTCTTTTATGATTCATGGTTTTTGAGGGTGAGTATATGAATCTGTCTAACCTCTCAATTAATGTGTCTTCATCAGGGAAGTTTTTTCCATCATCCAAAACCCAAGCTATGAAGGGATGCTCATAGTGGTTTCCATTCCCACCTCTGCCTGTCTAAATGGAAATCTAAAGTGTGGAAACAATGTTGGTTGTGTTGGCCGCACTTCTCTGTAATGAGACTTTTGTTCTAATTGTGTCCTGCTGCCTGACAGGAAGGTTCAAATGGGCATTTGCCACCTCAGTTTATGTCATAAGTTGAAGTGTGTGAATGTTTTTTTCATTAGAACATTGGCAGGAACATTGAATTCGAACTTTCCCACTGATATCTCTGCTCTTTTTACATCAGGCTAGAGGTAGACATCAAATAATAAACTGTAGATCAGAGCATGCTGGCTGGAAGTGCTGGGCTTTCCTTGTGGCTGGCTTCTCCACTTCTGTATCACCAAAGACCATTTTTATTTTATTTTTTTCTATAGATTCTTTTTCTTTTTTTTTTTTTTTGACAGCTCTGTCACCAGACTGGAGTGCAGTGGTGCAGTCATAGCTCACGGCAGCCTGGAACTCCTGGGTAACTGGGACTACAGGTGCTTGCCACCATACCTGGCTAGTTTGTTGTTTGTGTTTTTGTTGTGTAGAGACAGGGGTCTCAGTATGTTTCCCAGGCTGGCCTTGAACTCCTGGGCTCAAACTATCCTCCTGCCTCAGCCTTCCAAAGTGTTGGGATTACAGGAATAAGCCACTATGCCTGGCCATCCTATAGATTCTTTACTTTAAAACATTTCATCTGTCAAACAGATTGGTTTATTAAATTATAATAAATTTATTTTTAAAGCTATAACTACTGCCTGGCGCAGTGGCTCATGCCTGATCCCAACACTTTGGGAGGCTGAGACGAGTGGATCATGAGGTCAGGGGATCGAGACCATCCCAGCCAACATGGTGTAACCCCATCTCTACTAAAAAATACAAAAATTAGCTGAGTGTGGTGATGTATACCTGTACTCCCAGCTACTCAGGAGGCTGAGGCAAGAGAATCGCTTGAACCCAGGGGCAGAGGTTGCAGTGAGCCAAGATCATACCACTGCACTCCAGCCTGGGTGACAGCTAGACTCTGTCTGGAAAAAAAAAATAAAGAGATAACTACAATCATAGCTTATGGTTAACATGAAATGTTTAGTATTACCTGATTTAATTTACTTAATTATGGCAAAGGCACCTGACATTTTAGTAAAGTAAATCTTATCTTGTAGAAATAGATGATTTCCTTCCACATTCTTGAAATACAAAAACTTCTGGATCATGTTTCTCTCAGGGCATGTAATGGTGAGTCTGGATGAACTATAAAATTACATATGTAACTTAGGTGACTATATGGTACCCGTCTTGTAGTGCAGTCTCAAAAAGTATTAGTTGAATCCAAACCTCTAAACTTCTAATGACTCTTTAACAGAAATTTGCCGAGCATCCTCCAGTTTTCCTGTTTAAACCTACTTTGTATCCATAAATTGCTTCCAGTTCCTACCAGTTCCCGCTTCAACAGACCCTCCTTACTTCTCTCTTTCCTATATGTAACCCTACTTCCCACCACCCCTGCCTGATCTCTTTTCTAAACTGATTTGAATACCTCGCTCATTCAAATATTCTTTTACCTCTTGTTAGAAGACATTCTAAACTTACTGTCATGAATGATAGTAAACGTAAAACAGTGGCAATTTAAAAAAAAAAAACAACGCTTTTACACCCAGTGTTTTAGTTTATTCTGTAATTATTTCTAGTCATTCTATGTGTGTGTGCCTGTTGGTTATTAATCAGTCCTGCTCAAGTTACACCAGGATGTCTATCAGCCTCCTCCCGGCAGAATATGCGTTCCTGACTGTCTAGCACTCTAATGTTGCTCTTCTTGTTTGTTTGTGTTCACTCTGTGGTTGTAATACCATTTTAGGGCTATGTTAGGTGCCAGAAATATTTATATGTCTAAATACATCTTGGAGGTTAGGATTTGAGGGAGTAATGATGCATTCTTGTTCATGGAAGTCGCAGATTCCAAACCTATGTTCTTTTCACTATGTTCTGATTCCTGTCAACTATATTATATGTAACAATTTCTTACTTAACAAAATGAGAATGTTCAACTAAATGATCTGAGCATTACTTCTAGCTCTAATATTGTATGAGTCTCTCTTACATAACCCCTTAAAACTTTGTGAGGTAAATGGAACAGATACTATTTTCCCTATTATATAGGAAATGAAGAGTGAAGTGAGTTGGCTCAGTATACTGAAGTATTAATGATAGTTTCCCACTGCCTAATTTAGTGTTCTTTGCACAAATATTCTAATTATTGAATAGTCATAAACTAATATATTCTATTCTAAATCTCAAAATGTAAAGATTTCTTTTTCATTGTTGTGAGACCCAATCTAACTTTAAGGGTAAGCAATACCTCTGAATATCATTATTAGTGTCATCCACAAAGAAACTGAAAGTTAACTGATCTTAGACATTACCTGTTTTCTACACTATGGTTTTTTTTCTAAAAGGGCTAATACTGACTTTCTTTTTCAAATATTAGATGTGCTGTGTAAAATGCCCAATTTGTAGCCACTGTATTACCATATACAAGTGTGAAAGAGAACCAAGTCAGTAGGAATGCTAATAGAAGGAGCATTCTGAGTGGTGGGAAAATCATAAATAAAGGTCTGTAAGTAGGAATAAGAAAGATTGTTATGTGTAAGTAGAAAATCAAGAAGATCTTTTTGACTTAAGCAAAGGTTGAATACCGGATGGGAATGAAAATAGTGGCTGAATAGATAGAATATTCTCAGGTTAAGACAGAATCGTTAAAATTCATTGAGACAAGTCTGAATTACATGAAAAAGAGACTCATTCTGGGTGTTTATCAGGAGACTGATATCATGAAAATGTTGTGGATTTGTTGTTGTTATTGTTGTTGTTTTGTTTTGTTTTTGAGACATAGTCTCACTCTGTTGCTCAGGCTGCGGTGCAGTGGCTCAATCTTAGCACTGCAACCTCCACCTCCCAGGCTCACGCAATCCTCCCACCTCAGCCTCCCAAGTCGCTGGAAGTATAGGCATGTGCCACCACACTTAGCTAATTTTTTTGCGAGCTCTCACTGTATTGCCCAGGCTAGCCAATGATGTGTTAATAGAGAAATTTTACATCAGTATGTAGGATGAATTGGAAGGGCAGAAACTGAAGATGAAGATTAGCTGAAAGAGATTGCCATGAACCAGTCTTGCCATCAGTTATCACCTAGATAGAGACTGAACTTGGAAACTGATGGGTGAGTCTGAGAGATGAAGAAAGTGATTGAAGTGGAGTGGAAGGTTGAGGTGATCCTGATGTTTCTTGCCTAAGGAATGTAAAAAGATCATGTCCCCTGTCCAGAGGGATAGCTGAAAAGCTCATCAGTTTGTGGTAGGGAGGAATTCAGTTTGGGGTATGTTAGATAAACTTAGAAGCATTGGAAAGCCATCCAGGTAGAAATGTCCTTCAGATAAAGACTTTCAGGGATAAACTACACAAACTAGAATGCAAGGGAAAATAAATTCATGAGCATGCGAGAGCAATGTGTTCACCGCTGAAGAAAGCTGTTTCTCTCTTAGCCCATTCCTTATGTCTCCTTCATTGTCCATAATCTCTTTATGTTTTGGTTTGCATGAAGCAGCCTTCACTGTTCGGTTACTTAATTTGGAAACACAGTAAGGCCATTTAATAATGTGTGTTGCACAAAACATAAAAGACCCATCTCGTAATTTCTATATATGTTTATAAAGAAAATTTTCTCTACAACAAATTGTGCCCTAAAAATAATCTTAAATGTCATTTCATGGGCTTCCAATTGCTTACAACGTGAAATTAAAATTCCCTCAACCCATGACATCCTTTACAGCCTGTTCTCTTCCTACCTTTCAGCCCCATCTCACTGGCTACCCTCACTCTAGTCCAATGGATGAGACCTTTTTTCACCTTTATGTCTTTGCACATTGGTTAGTACTCACTCACACGGACACAACTCAGTCAGATATCACTCCTTTCATGAAGCTTTCCTTCACCACCACCGTCCCTGCGCCATTGGTCCTCATTCTGTGCACTCCTATTTATACCTCTGTGTACAAGCGTCACGTTGTTTTGTAAATGTTTGCTACATTTCTCCCCCTCAACTAGAATGTGAGGCCCTTGAAGGCAGGAACCTAGTTTTATTCATCTGCGTAGTCCATATGCCTGCTTGGCTCTAGACACATTGTAGATACCTATTTTAACATTTGTATAGATTAATTACTTCTGTGCCATTAGGCAGAAAAGCTGTCTTAAAAACCAATTACAGAAAACACTGATTAAATTGCAGATATATGTGTGGGACTGGTGTGCTAATTTTCTGGCTCCTGAAGGCTGCAGGGCGCACATTTCGTTAAGAGAAGCAAGCCTCTGCTGAGTAGTGTGCTCTCCGCACTTCAGCAGCAGATAAAAGTGCTTGCAGATGTGAAAGCAAGATCCTTCAGGCTTTTTTCACTATCAGAGCTTGCAGTCCCCATCTCCAGGAAGCAAAATAGTAAACATTTCATTCCTTTTGTTTCGGTGTTCCGATAATTTTAAGAAATTATCAAACAAGAAAAGAAATCCTGGAGAAGTTGAAAGACACAGACCTAAGCAGATGTTCCTGGAATCTTAAGGTCGCACTTCTTGGGCAGATTGTGTTTGTTAGCTTTACAAAGAGTAATCTTTTGTTGCTGTGTTTTTTTTCTGAGTAAATTAAAATTCATTTCTTAGGAAATACCAATCGTCTTACCTTCCTGCTATTAAGCAGAACGGAGCTAATGAAAGATGACTGGCCCACAGTAGCCTTAGATTTTTTTTCTTTAAGTCTTGCTCTGTCACCCAGGCTAGAGTGCAGTGGCGCCATCTTGGCTCACTGCAGCCTCTGCCCCCCGGGTTTAAGTGATTCTCCAGCCTCAGCCTCCCAAGTAGCTGGGACTACAGGTGTATTTCACCATGCCCAGCTAATTTTTTTGTATTTTTAGTAGAGGCAGGTTTTCATCATGTTAGGTAGGCTGGTCTCGAACTCCTGACCTCAGGCAATCCGCCAGCCTTGGCCTCCCAAAGGGCTGAGATGATAGGCATGATCCACTGCGCCTGGCCTAGATTTTTTTTTTTTTTTTTTTTTTTTTTTTGAGATGGAGTCTTGCTCTGTTGCCAAGCTGGAGTGCAGTGGTGTGATCTCGGCTCACTGCAACCTCCACCTCCCAGGTTCAAGCGATTCCCCTGCCACAGCCTTCTGGGGTTTCACCATGTTGGCCAGGATGGTCTTGATCTCTTGACCTCGTGATCTGCCCACCTCAGCCTCCAAAGTGTTGGGATTACAGGCGTAAGCCACTGCACCCAGCCTTTTTTTTTTTTAAGAATAGGTTTGACTCCCCATTCTGTGGCAACTGGCACGGTGTTAAGATTTGAATGGGTTTAGTAATTGGAAGATGCAGCTGTGAATTAAGGACGCTGGGGGAGACTCTTCTAGCCCATCTGTATGTGTGAAAGACTCACCCTTGCAGTAAGCCTATTCAAAAAGTCAAGTAAAACCACAAATTTGCACTTAAGGTGTCTTCCTTTCCCCTGAAGTCACTTCCTACATTCTCTCTAGTGGTTGAGGTGTCCTGATGGGAGTTGGGAAGTTAGAAAGTAGGAGATCATGGTTGTTTTACCTTTCAAAATAAACCAAAGTAATATCCACAATATGCCTTGGGATCCTTGCATTTGTCCCAGTACTAAACCTGTATTATGTCTTTCTTGTTCCACTGTGTCAGACACTCGATCCAGGATAATGGACTTGCTTGTTGATGTGCATTAGTATCAAATTTAGTATAGTGTATGGTCCATTTCATATCTTTCTGCCTCCCAAAGGAGAGTCTTACTCAAGAATAAAATTTTGATGAGTTTCTCTTAGAAAACAATGTGAATATAAATGTGGCTATAACGAAACTTTACTGACTCCCTGTGGGGTAGACTTCCCAGTAATAACAGATTTAGCATGTGGGCTGATACCTTTTTAGTATCACAGGGACAGCATTGTTTAGAGAAAGCCTTGACTCCATTTGAATAGCACGGAGGATGCCAGGAGGAAGGCCAAAGGGAAAGGAAACGGGAGAGCTGTTGGTTTGTCTCACCCCCACATCAGATGACAGGAAGTCGGAATTGAGATTGGCCACAGCAACCTGTTAAGGCCACATCTGTTTGAATAACTTAAAAGCTCTATGGAAACCGAGTAAGAAATTTAAGAAGAGGATGAGGGGCAGAGTGGCAAGCAATAGCTTGGAGTGAACATCCTGTCAGGAATAAATTTCTTCCTTGACCATCTGTATTCTTTACTTCACTGTACCCTAGAGTATAAACTGTGTTAAGGCAACTGAGTTTGGTTAGTTACCCATAGCTGGGTTAGTTAGCTATGGGTTAGTTACCCATAGCTGAATGATTTATTGGACTGGCCAGGTTCCCCTGCCCTTTGTGAAACTGGCCTCAGTCACATAGTGATTCCACTTTGTCCTAATGTTCAGTCACATCAGTGATTGAAACTCACAAGTGCTATGGAAGTATCACTAGCTGTGATTTGATTAATGGCAGAGTTTCTCACAAGCACAATGTGTGTCTAAGAATGAACTACATAATCGAATAGGAAGATCTTCCAGGGCTATTTTTTGTTTGTTTGCATGAATGCATATATGTTCATTACTTTATTTTTGAGATAGGGTAGGCTTTGGCTTTTGAAGGGTGGATGTGTATTTCTGATGGAGTTACAGTTATTCACAAATGCCATTTCATTGCCAAGGAATTAAAAATAAACAAATCAACACTATTTTTGAGCTTTTCTCCAAAAGAAAAACAAATAGTGCTTGTAGGCCAGACAGCTGTTTGTAAGGTGTGGGGTTTTTGTTTGGTATTTTTGTGTTGGACAGATGCATAGCCATGACAATTCTAGTTCCCATTCCAAATAGAGGCAAACAACTCTGTCTGCCAAATAAACTAACATAGCAGTTTGGAGGAAGGCAGGGGGCTGGGGTGAGAGATTTTATCCCTTGGGTATATTATCTCCTGCTTTTATCTCACACTTGAGGCTGAGTGGCCAAAAGAATTCCCGGAGCATGCTCATGGGCTCTTCTTTCTCTGCAGATACCACCTCCTCAAACTCCTCCAGAAGTTTGGCAAGGTAAAGCAGTTTGACTTCCTCTTCCACAAGTCAGGCGCTTTGGAGGGACAGCCTCGAGGCTACTGTTTTGTTAACTTTGAAACTAAGCAGGTAATTGAGCTTTCTTTCCCTTTCATAGTATTTATCAAGCTCTGTCATAATTATCTGTGCATCTCTCTTGCCTACTAGAATAGAAGTTCCCTATAGGCAGGAGCTATGTCTGATTCATCAGTGTGCCTTACACTGAGTCCTAAAAGACGTCGTCCTCCAATAAACAAATGAATAACTTTCACAATTTACCCTCCCTTGGCCAAGGTTTAAGACTGACCTACATTTTTGACCAAATGCATTAGGTTGCCCACATTGAGCAATGGACATCTCCCTCCCTATTCTCTTTTGTTTGTTCCTTTACTGGCTGGCCAACGGACAAAGCCTTCTTTGCTTTCAGTAGTTTTGCCCAGTGGTACAGAAACCTATCTGTGATGAGACACCCACAAAGACTCTTTTGTTATTTCTTCTCAAGGTCTCAGAACAAATGCATATAAATTTTAATATATGTAGAAGAGAGCATTCACCTTCAACCATGGTATATACATGGACCTCCTTGTAATAAAATTTAGTCCTTGAAGTGGAAGTGCATTGATAAAGGAATTGAATTTGATTATTACTAAATGTAGAGATGCTGCATGGTACTCTATAATTGTATTTGTCATATATAAGAACATTGCATAGTTATCGTTATGTTAATAATTTAGGCCTGGCGCACACCTGTAATCGCAGCTACTCAGGAGGCTGAGATGGGGAGATTGCTTGAGCCCAGGAGTTTGAGACCAGCCTGGGCAACATAGTAAGACCTTGTCTCTAAAAAAAAATTTTTTTAATCAGGTGCGATGGCTCACCTGTAGTCCTAGCTACTTAGGAGGCTGAGGAAAAGAGGATTGCTTGAGCCCAGGAATTCAAGGCTACAGTGAGCTGTGATCACACCACTATACTCCATCCAGCCTGGGCGACAGAGCATGACTCCATCTCTTAATGATAATAGTAATGATAATAATTTGTATGAGTGTTTTTCTTATTCTAAAAGTAATGTGTGAATATTATAGATGAAAATATAGATAACTGGGAAAGAAAATGTAAATCACTTGATCCAATACCCAGAAATAATCACTGTTAATATTTAGTCATATGTCTTTTCAGTCTTTTTTGGTCTCTTCACATTCACACACACATAAACACATATACAGTGTTTAACACACAGAATCATTATCATGTTTATCACTCAAAGTATACTAAAATTTTTCTACCATTTAATCACATCAAGATAACATTCCGTATCCTGATATTGTGGCTTCACTGGTGTCTGTGTGTGTGTGTGTGTGTGTGTGTGTGTGTGTGTATAAAATCATTGATTTGTATCTGAGATTTGGGCATTTTATTGTATGTGACTTAGACTGCATTTAAAAACTAATCATTTTTGATGACTACGTAATGTGAATATATGATATTTGACTAGTCCCCATTTGTTAGCTATTTGGGTTGTTTTGCTGGTATTTGGGTTGATTCACTAGTATAAATATCACAAGAGTATTTTTACAGTTCTAATTATGTATATTTGCCACATTTGTGGAGATGGAATGGCATCATCAAAGTCCATGCATAGTTTTTCTTAATACAACTGCCAAATTGCCTTCAAGCAATGATGTATCAGTATGTTCTGAGACTATGATAGTGTCATTTGTCCTTGCCAGTGCTATTTTTTATTTCCTCTAATTTTTGTAAATATGATAGCCAGTAAGTAATTGTTCAAGTATTTTGAGGGAAGTGAAATAATGCACTATAGAATTAGCATTCTTTTTTCTTTTTTGAAAGAAGGTCTTGCGCTGTTACCCAGGCTGGAGTGCAGTGACACAGTCATGACCCACTGCAGCCTTGACCTCTAGGTTCAAGTGATCCTCCCACCTCACCCTCCACAGTAGCTGGGACTATAGGCACATGCCAGCATGCCTGGCTAATTTTTGCATTTTTTTGTAGCAATGATGTTTCACCATGTTGCCCGGGCTGGCCTCAAACTCTTGGGCTCAAACAATCTGCCTGTCTCAGCCTCCCAAAGTGCTGGGATTCCAAGTATGAGCCACCACACCTGACCAGCATTTTTAAATACTTTATTCTTTCTTAATGATAAAGTGCGGTGAGAATTCTTTTTTTTTTTTTTTTTTTTTTTTTTTGAGACAGGGTCTCTCTCTGTCGTCTAGACTGGAGTATAGTGGCACGATCACAGCTTAGTGCAGCTTCCGCTTCCTGGACTCAAGCAGTCCTCCCATCTCAGCCTCTTAAGTAGCTGGGACCACAAGCACACACTACCCACTGGCTAATTTTTGTATATTTTTGTGGAGGCTGGAGTTCGCCGTGTTGCCAGGTTGATCAAACTCCTGGGCTCAAGCAGTTTGCCCACTTCGGCCTCTCAAAGTGCTGAAATTACAGGTGTGAGCCACTGTACCCGGCCTGGGAATTGTTGCAGACAACTAAATCCAGTGGTCATGTTGAACACAGATGTTGGTTTAAAAACACTGGATTAAAATACAAAGCCTAGTTTTTATTTCTGGCTCTTTTATTTATTAACTTTGAGCAAGTCTTTTAACCTCTTTTGGCCTCGATTTTCCATCTAAGAATGGAGATTAAGAATACATATTCTTCTTACCTTACAGGAAGTTGGGAGAATAGATGAAAGTATAAGAAAACCTAGTTGGCATTTAATAATATTTTTGAATACATGAAATTTGAAATAATGTATACAGGTAGGAAATTATTTTTAAAAACATTAAAAAATACAATTTCCCTGCGAGCAATTTATTACTGCTGCTACTTTGGAACTAACAGAGTGCCCTATAAGTTCTTATTCACCAAGAGAAGCTTAAAAGAATAAAATGTCTTTTACCTGTCATTCTAGCTCTGTGTGCTGTAGTGGGATGAGGATGGCTGGTGAATATCCAGTGCCTGACACACAGTTAGAACTCAGTAAATATTTGTTAAATGTCATACTGGTAGGTTCTGGAGGAACTAGCGAATCACCAGTAAAACCAAACTAGAATGCCTACTGGCTTCTATAGGCTCTCCCTGCTCCCTGGGACATCCTATTTCTCCTCTGTTCCTTAAGGGCTTCTTCACCCTCACTAAACATGGGTTACACTTGGCCAAATGCCTCATGGATACAAATGGGGCAAAGAAGGTTCGGCAGGATGGAAAGTACAGCCAGATTTCCTGGAAATGACCTAGAGTGACTGTTAGCCAGCTTCAGGAATTCCTTTCAACCTTGTTACTCCTGTGTCTGATGGGGAAAGGGTCAAGGAACTTTTGATTCTGAAAACCAGGTGCGTACATTGACTCACACAGATACCTTGCTCACAGTCTCTTTGAGTCACTCCTGCTTTTTCCGGCTTAGTTTCCTCCCATGCTCTTTGAAGCAGTTTCTCCTCACTATGAATCCAGGGAGTACATACACCCTAGTCCAGGTTATGGTTCCGGGACCCTTGTGGGGAGTACAGTTTCTTGACATAGGAGGTGCTACCTAACTAACAGAAGTGTGAATATGGGTGTCACCTAATAGGAACAGCACTATTACTAACATATATTAAGTGTATATCATATGCTCCATGCTTTGCATACATTCTTTGAGTCCTTACAACCACTGATGAATAAGTATCTATATTATCCATTAAAAAATTATCCATTATTTATTCATATTTTACAGGCAACAAAGCTAGCGACACTTAAGCGACCTGCCAAATATCCTACTGCCAGCAAATGACAGACCAGGATTTGAATTTTTGTCTGACTGACTTTAAAAAACTCATGCCCTTTTTAAAATTCTGCCTTTTAAAATTGTAAACCCTTGCCAGTTATTTACCAAAAACAATTTGGTTAGAAACTCAGCCATCAAACCTAGTGAGGCCCTGTGAGAATACATACAGCTAGCCAAGCACTTCAATTTTTAACTAACATTTGTCCCTTTCCTGGACAGGAAGCAGAACAAGCCATCCAGTGTCTCAATGGCAAGCTGGCCCTGTCCAAGAAGCTGGTGGTGCGATGGGCACATGCTCAAGTAAAGGTATGTCTGGGAGGCTAGAAAGACAGTTGTCCATTACCCGTTTATATCCCAACCTCCTCACACCTGAAACAGCCATACTTCGGTCTCCTACTTGTATTTACCGTGCGTGTTGCCAGATTTTTCTTTTGAGAAACATCTCAGGAGGGATTAAGTTCCTTGGTAATTTCTCTCCACATGCCCACAGATCCTGGTTCTGATTGAGTTTCTCATGTGGCTAATGTGTATGCTCAGACCTCTGTCATTTTTTTTGGTGGAGGGTTGTTCTTTGGCAGAAAAAAAATATATTTGTTTTTAAAATCAGTTGCTGTAGGCATTATTAGACTCTTCCCAGCCTCTGACTCTGTTGAGAGTTTGAATTTGTTTATTCCAAATGCTTGAGAAATGGGTAGTTTCTATGAGTGCTTAAAGCACTGGCATCTCCTTACTACAGAAATCTTGAGAGTTACTAGGGTGTGGGTTCGTGGGACTTTGCAGTGCCTGCATTGTGTCTAAGTCCTGAGAAGTAGCAGGCTGCCCTGTTCATTCTGTAATTAGACTCTTGGGAGAATACACTAGAAAAGCTTCAGCCAGTAAAAAAAAAAAACAAAACAAATGGCATTCTGTTCCAGCTGGCACAGAGGTGGTAAAGTGTGTTGACTGGAGCAGTCCCAAGAGTTGATCTGCCTCCTTCTGCAGTGGGACTTGACAAACCTGCCTGCACAAAGATCTGTGACAGTTTTGAGTTGGAGCTGAAGTCCTTAGCTGTAAACATGGTTTTTGATCAGAAACTGTCTACAAACTTCCCTGTAAAGAGTCACAGGGACTAAACAGACATTTAAGCTCAATGCCCAAGCTGAAAAACGAAGTTCAGATACTTTAGATCCTTCTGAGTATTTCAGGTAATCACAGAGCCTTCTCAATTTCTAGGACACATTGCCTTAAAAATAGAAACAACAAGGAGAATTACCAAATGCTTTTTCACTCAAGGGAAAAATCAAGTCTCATTTACTAAACCCGTTTTCTCGTTCTGCATCTCACTGAAAAGGCACGCAAGAGACATCATCCTCCATTCCTGTCTTCCACTTGAAAATCTTTGTGCTTCACAGTTCTCTTCTCCTATAAATCTTTTTTGACCAGAAGCTCTTGATTGCTCTTCAATATTATATTTACTTTTTACAAGAAGTATGTAATTATCTGGCTAGGCATGGAGGCTCATGCTTGTAATCCCAGCACTTTGGGAGGCTGAGGCAGGAGGATTGCTTCAGCCCAGGAGTTCAAGACCAGCCTGTGCAACATAGGGAAGCCCCGTCTTTATTTTTTCTGATAAAATTTAAAATTAAAAAAAAAAAGAATTATGTAATTATCTGACATCAAATTAAATTACTACTTTTCTGTAGAATGTTGTTTGTATCAACAACTGAAAGTTATTACTACTTTTATTCTCCACTCAGGACTGTTAAGAGTTAAATATCATGCTTGGTGTGGGTACTTTGCAAAATTTAAAGTTTTTTTGTTTTTCGTGATAGGGTCTGGCTCTGTCACCCAGGCTGGAGTGCAGTGGCAAGATCTTGGTTCACTGCAACCTCTGCCTCCTAGGCTCAAGCAGTCCTCTCCCCTCAGCCTCCTGAGTTGTTGGGACTACAGGCATGTGCCAGCTTGCCCGTCCAGCTAATTTTTGTTTGTTGTTTGTTTTTAAACAGAGACAGGGTTTTTGCATGTTCCGCAGGCTAGTCTCGAACTCCTGAGCTCAAGCAGCCAGCCCACCTTGGCCTCCCAAAGTGGTGGGATTATAGGCGCAAGCCACCATGCTTGGCCACTTTAAAGTATTTTTAATGAAATAAATATTGTAAAAGGTGATATGTGGCAGTTAAAACAAGAATATAAGAAGGCAACCGTCCTGTGTGTTTGTACCCTCTGGGAAATTGAAAGTTGACATTTTTTTCCTACTGAATAAGGAGAAACTGATGGCTAGATGGAAGCTTCTTTTTCTAAACTTACAGCTTTTAGGCCAAAACTATGTGAAGTGTTTCATTAATTCTAAATGTAAAGTGGTCCTAAAATTGTCTAGAAGTAAGCTGATGATACACTGATGGTATTAGTTTCTGAACCCATGCACTACAGTAAAGGGCAGGTTTCTGCCCAAATGAAGTAATTTCTCTGTTTCTCATTTTCAGAGATACGATCATAACAAGAATGATAAGATTCTTCCAATCAGTCTCGAGCCATCCTCAAGCACTGAGCCTACTCAATCTAACCTAAGGTAAGATGGTATACTATAGAAAGACACAGTAATTCAGGAGCTTCAGCCATTGCATCATACCATGTCTTCATAAAATAGTGAGTCTTCAGACTCTTAGAATTTATTAACTTGACCTATTGAGAGAGATGTTCAGTTAATTTCCAGAATGTATACATTTCCTCTCCTTCTATCCACCTAAGATCATGTACTCCTCGTTTACAGAGTTCGTTCCCTCATAAAAAAAAACTGGGTGTAGCTACTACACACCAAGCCTTGTGCTTGGCACTGAGGATACAAAGACAGATCAGTCATTACTCTAAAAACAAGCATTTTAATAAGGCCTTGGGTCTCTTTGGCATTTGTCATTATATACTAATTTCTCCCCAGTCTTAAGTTCCCTTATATAGAATTTTAGTTTGCAGATGTTTGATTCTGTGTACTATTGCGGTGGCCGTAACAGTTTTTGTACAAATTGTTAGTTATTTCTTTGGAGTTTAAAACAGGAGAACTAAGGGTTGGGCAGAAGTAGAAGGTTGGTTTGTTTCTCGTTTTGTTTTGCATTGTAGCCTAGGGAGAAATTTTAGCAATAACAATAACAACAGCCAGGATTTATTGAGCTTACTAGGAAGCAGGCACTATGCTAAACACTTCTGTGCAGTATGTCATTTACTTATGGCTGAGATCACACAGGTGGCAAGTAACAGAGTCAGCATTCAAAGCCAGGTCTATTAGACTTCAAAATTCAGTCTTTTAGTTACTACGTCAAAGAAGCGCCAGGCCGTAAATTCAGGACTGCAGTTCTAAAGCCTATTCTGGGGCTGGGGAAGAAAATATGTGAAGGAGCATAGTGATACGTAAGGGTCAGAAGCCAACAATTCTAAAGTCGGGAAAGTGATGCTTATTAGGGCAGAGCACCAAGCAGAGGGTTAAATGCCTTTCGTGTGTATTATCTGCACCAAACAAAACAGATTTACAAGCATCTCATTCAACTGCAAGGGAAGGTAGTCCTGAACATTTTCAGGAATGATAAATTGGTACATTTAAATTAATTTTATAGTTACTCATTTAAGTTTAATATTATGATATTTTGTGTGTGTGTGTGCTCCAGGGAATTAAGTGACTTGTGTAGATCACTGGGAGCGTATATCCACTTTGTTATTTTTCCCATAAGATTTGAACTCCTTGATCATAGATTGATTTCCATGAAGGTTTTCATAAATCTAACTCCTATTGGAAAGAGATGACTGCATTTATGCTTGATGGTCTTCATATTACAACAAACAAGTTTCTTATGATTTGTGTATGCCACTTGTTTACAAGATAGCCTAAGGTTTTCCATCTGTTTTTTTATCCAGAGGACCTCAGCTTATATCTCTCTATTAACATTATGCCTAATGAGAGAAGTTTGCTTCCCTGTGACTTGTACAAAATCAGTGACTGGCTGTGCCATTAATGGAAGAGGGGCCAGAATGCATCTCAGTAATACTTAGTGTTCTTTTTATTGTAACTTAGTTTTTAAATTTCTTGCCCATGTATACCTTTTGAGGATCTCCAAAAGGCCATGTATACACTCCTTCCAAGTTTCTCTCACTGGCTATATAGACCATTAACAGCATCAAGAATGGAAAAGGAAGGTAGCCACAGGCCAAAAACTACCTGCTGCCTGAGTGCTTTGCATTCTGGTCCAGGAATAGCAATGACCTCAATCAAAAGCAAATTTCCTCACTTCTCTAGCATCTCCTCACCCTTCCTGTGTAATATAGGACTATTTTGCTCTTAACCTGGTAGAGAAGAAAAAACAAGGGCTTTGATTATGAGTTGAATCCTCACTCTGCAATTTGTTAGCTGTGTGAACCTTGGTCATATCACTACCTCTGCATTTGTTTCTGCATCTATAAATCATGAATGATAACCCATGTAGAGCTATTGCAAGGATTACAAACCTTATAAGTAGGTCGAGTGTAGTGGCTCATGCCTGTAATTCCAGCATTTGGGGAGGCTGAGGCAAGAGGATCACTTGAAACCAGGAGTTCAAGACCAGCCTGTACAACATAGCGAGATTCCATCTCTACAAAAACAAATTTTAAAAATCAGCTGGATGTGGTGGTGTGTGCCTGTATTCCTACTACTCAGGAGGCTGAGGCAGTAGGGTAGCTTGAGCTCAGGAGTTCAAGGCTTTAGTAAGCTATGAAGGCACCACCACACTCCAGTCTTGGCAGAACAAGACCCTGTCTCAAACAAAAAAAAATAATGTAAGTAAAGTGCTGGACACTGTGCCTGGCTCATTGTAAGTACTTTGTAAATGGTAGCCTTTATTAACACACCTTCATCAGTAAGAAGAGACTGAATAGGATTTGCAGAATGTTTTCTTTTTTCCATTTTTATTCAGTGATTCAGGTGAAACCTGGGCTTTTTGAATCAGTTTGTATTCAAATCTCTGCTCTGTCACTTTCTCGCTGTGTAACGTTGGGCAAATGAACCTTTCTATGCCTGTTATCTGCAAAATAAAGAATATGACATATCTTATAATGTTGTTTTCAGTTCTACAAGAATTATTTTTAGTGCCTCCTCTCTGCCAAGTACTAAGGTGCTGAACAGTGTCTACATCTGAGGATTAAATGTAAAACTATATGAAGTACTCCTAACAATGCCTAGGCTCGTGTTAAAAATTTAATAGATGGCTCAGACTTGATCTCTTTCTTAGAATGAGAGTATTAGTTATTTCTGGCTTTTATATGAAATGTTTAAATGTTTGTAATTTAGTATCTTGTTGCTTCTCTAATATTCCCAAAAGGCTCAGGGAGATGAACTCTACAGGTATTTTCTAAGTGTACCTAGGTCCACTCTGATCCTCTGCTATCATTTTTCCAGTGTCACTGCAAAGATAAAAGCCATTGAAGCAAAACTGAAAATGATGGCAGAAAATCCTGATGCAGAGTATCCAGCAGCACCTGTTTATTCCTACTTTAAACCACCGGATAAAAAAAGGACTACTCCATATTCTAGAACAGCGTGGAAATCTCGAAGATGATGGTGGCGAATTCTGTAGCAGCAAAAGCAAATTGGTTTCCACACCTAAAATCGTCTGCCTTTGTACTTTGTAGATGTGAATGGTACTATTCAACAGAGCACAATCACATGTTAGCGTTTGGTAACAATGTTTTTGGATGTTCTTATGGATGTTTCTTCCCTGAACTATGTATGGAATTGAGCATCATCCAGAATAAATAGGATTGTATCCCAAATTGTGATTTGAACCCTGGGATGCTCTAATTGGCTGGTTTGTTTGGGTTTGTAACTCCAGAAACATTCTATAGTGTCCCAGAGCAAACGGCAAATACATAAAATGTTATTATTTAAATCAGGAAACTAAATATATTAACGTCTACTAAAAAGCATTTTTCTATGCTCATGTGTCTTTACAACATAAAGAAAAAATAAGAGACAGGGAGGGAAGTGAGAGACAGATTTTTAAATCATGTTCAGAACTGTTGTTCCAGAATTTGCTATGGAAATCCCTCCAACTCAACTGAAAAAGAGAAAGTTCTTGGCAAAAGGGAGCTGATTCTTTGAACGAATGTTGTAGTAATCTGTTTAAGAATTATGCTCATTGTTTCAAAATCCCAATTAGGAAAACATGGTGTATATCTTAAAAGTGTTTGCGTTGACAAAACTAGAATCAAATTTAACATTTTATACCACAACAGACATTCTATTTGGAAATTGAACTTGTATTCTATAGCAATCATTTTTTTTCAAATCTAAATAACAATGCCTTCTATAATACCAAATGTTGCTATTATGGGACTTTTAAAATTGCATTTATTGCATGGGATTGTTTTTATAGCATGAAAATGTTCTGTTTGGAATTGTATCATGGTCAGTCTAAATAGAAGCAAAATTTTTTTGAAAACCTAAACATTGCTATATTGGTCACTATCAAACATACAATTTTCTAATAATTGTGTAGGGGTCTAAGTGGAAGAGATTGCATTATCTCGTGCAGGACAAGAAGGGGACATGCAGCGGGCACCGAAAGTCAATGGAGCAGACACTGCTGTGGCACCAAGACTGTAGTGACTTGTGTGATAGGTAGTTTTAAAAGACTACATGACTTCAAAATGATTCTTCACTTGGAGAACATACTTGCCTCTGGATACTTTTGTCACTGTAAGCATTCTAAATATAACAATAGAGAAAGATAAGTCAACCAACAGATTTGGGGAGATATTTCTTCACATTTTGGTCATTTTGGTGCCAAGTTTGACGTACTGTTTAATTGGGCAGCACATTTGCTTCTTTACCAGGTATGTATCACTTAGTTACTCCAGGTGCCCTTGGTGATTACATACTGTGTATCACTATCGTTGTTAGCAAAAGGAAGCTTTCATTATAGGAACTTAACATCTTTCCATGAGGGTAAATGAATTTAAAACATTTGAATCAAAACTTCAGTAGAGGGAGGTTTTAGAATTCATAAAACTGGTTCGATGAAGTGCTTATTACTTTTCCCAAGGTTACTCTTTTTAAATATCTCTAGATATCAAATACTTTATTAGCTGTGTCTGTCTATGATACAAGTAACTCTTCTCCTATTTGGGGGATAGGTAGGAGCATTATCTCCCATTTTTCTGGTGACTTCTTGGAGTATAGAATTCACCATTTCATCCATAAGTCTTCAAAGGGTTATGGTGGAGTAGGACTTACATAATGCAAAATAGTCTTCTATTTTTAATAGGAACTTAGAAAAAACTTAGAATTATATATAGAGTTGTTTCCTTTAGAAACCAGAGCTATTTATGTGTATTTAAAGCAATGTTTATTATTTGTACTGACTCTTATCCCTCTGTGTGAATAAATGTAAAACAGTGTATATGTGGTTATATTTTCTCTCATTCATTTACTGGCATAGACTGCAGTTCTCTGGCAGGCTCGTTTACACTCAGGACTTGGGCTGGCATGTCCAGGTGGGGTGCTGCTTCTAAGTGCCTTCTCTGCAGAGGGCTCTGGCTAGAAAGTCAAACTCAGAGGCAACTCTCTTTACCCTTTATGCCTGCCTACCTCTGCTGTTAGAGATGAGAAGAGAGGCCAGCTGTTTCCATTGCAACTGTCACTATTTGAAAAGAAGTTGTTAATGGAAATCTCTGCAAGTATTGTACCATGTTTAGTCTCTCGTAGAGATTTCAAAGGAATAAATATATGTATCATAAATATGCTGAAAGCAGTCTGATGAAAGGTTTTTAAATTTCAGGTGTTAACTTGTTCAACTCTTTGTTATAAGGTTCTCTGTACTTTAAGTAAAATTATTGTTTGGTTTACTGGTTAATTCTTTCAGTCTGCTAAAATTATGTTACTTATAATTTTGGTTTATATACAAGAGTGAAGAAGTGAAGGAAATATTGAGGAGAGGGGTATGAATTATTTTCTTTATCTCAATTCCTATTTTATCGAATGCAAAATGTAATTCTAACCAGCTGATTTTCTATAATTGGTATCTCAACATTGGGGAGGAGTATCACATGAGCAAAGGTTTTTCAAAGTGTGTCGGCTGAGGCACAAGAATCACTTGAACCCAGGAGGCAGAGGTTGCATTGAGCTGAGATTGTGCCACTGCACTCCAGCCTGGGTGACAAAGTGAGACTCCATTTCAAACAAAAACAAAGCATGTCAAAACTCAGTAGCACAAGTTGTGTGGAACCAGGTATTCTGCAGCTCCCTCTTGTTTATTAAGATATGTACAATTTCTGAATCAACAAATATATTTGTGATTCTTTTATACTACTATATAAAAGAACAGGAGTAATTCTTGCCTTATAAATTAAATGTCAGACATTTCCTATATGTAATCATTTATTCCTAAAATGTGATTTAGTCTCAGCATGTTTATCCTTGTTTTTCCTTTTTCTCTCCAGCTCCTATCTAGTCCTTCAACAAATCCTGTCCACTCTCACCTTCCAAATGCATCTTGATCCCAGCCATCTCACCACCTCCAACACGACCACCATTTTTGTTAAAGCCACCATGATCTCTTCCCTGGACTATTGTAATACCTTCCTAATTATCTCCCTGCCTCCGATACTGATTCTTTAGGGTCCATTTTCCACACAGTAGCCAAAGTAATTGTTTTAAAATGTCATTCTCTTCTTGGTGGCTTTTCATCACACCTAGAAAAAATTCAAAGACCTGTAAGGCCCTAATGACCTGTCCCTTACTACATGACTGACCGTATCGCCTACTGTTCTCTCCTACTGGCTCCAGCCACACTGGCCTTATTGGTGTTCTTTGAATACAAGAGAGCTTCTACTTCAAGGCATTTACATTGGCTGTTGCCTTAGCTTAGGTTGGAATGCTCTTTCTCCAGGTAGCCACAGAGCCCACTTCCTCACCTGACTCATGTCTCTGCTCAAATGTTAATAATCAAGAGGCAGTCCCTGGCCTCCCTTTTAAAATTACAACCCAGTCATTCTCCAATCCTTTCCTCACCATTTTCTAAAAAGCACTCAGCTCTAACCAACATTATATCTAAATTATTTTGTCTCTTTTTACTGGAATGTAAGTTTCATATAAGCAGGAACTCTGTGTCACTGCTATGCCCTCAGCATTTAAAACAATGGCTGTACATCATACATGTTCAATAAATAGTTGTTGAATGAACTACAGGAATTCTGGTATTTGAGAGTGAAGGGCCTTAAGATACCATCTCATATAGCCCCCTCGTTGTCCAGATGGGAAAAACGGGAATCCAGAGGGCCAAAGTGACTTGGCCAGGGTCACTTGGTTAATGGGAGAGCTTTAGGTAGAACCCAGGCCTGCAAGCATCTAGTCCAGTGTTCAGCAGACTGACCTCTGCCACCTTTTTGTATAGCACCTAAGCTAAGAATTTTTTTTTTTTTCATTTTCAAGTGGTTGAGAAAAAAAAGTTTAAAAAAATACTATATTGTGACATGAAAATGATAGGAAATTCAAATCTCAGTATACATAAAGTAACTTTTATTAGAACACAGCCATGCCCAGGTATTTACATGAGGCTGTTTTCCCCATATAATAGGGGACTTGAATAGCTGCAATGAAGACTGTGGCCTACAAAACCTAAAGAATATACTATCTGTCCCTTTACAGGAAAAATTTGTCAAGCCCTAATATAAACTATATTCCAATACTGGAAATGTCTTTTCTAAACCACTGTAGGGTCAAAATTCTGGTGTCAATGCAGAGAATAAAAGCAACAGGTGACAGAATGATGTGCACTAAATATCGTTCCTTAGGCAGTGTCCCTGACCCCTTATACAGCATTTGGGACAGAGAACTGGCTATGCCAGCCTAGTGGCCTCATTGTACTGCTTAGGGCTATCAATGTGGGCTAAATCCTCTTATTGTCCCTCTGAGGAAACTAAGGCCGTAAGAACTTGGGCATCAGGTATGCCTGCCTCAGACTTGTACCCCAGCTATGTAAGCAGATTACAGTACTCCCAGCTCAAGTGACAAAAATCGCACTCCAACTCCCTTATGGTAGAACATGTATTGGCTCATGTAACTGAAAAGTCCAGGTGTTCAATGATATAGTTAGGAATCTGTCTATCTCTTGATTGTGTTTCCTCTGGGTTAGTTTCATTCTCAAGCAGGCTCTTCTTTGTGGTCTCTGGAGAGGTCTCTTGAATCCCAGGTTAAAAAGAAAAAAAATTAAAAATACAGATCTGTCAGAATTCATCCCAGTACATAAGTCTGTATCTTCTTTCCTCTGCATTCAGTCTTATTGGGCTGGGATTACTGATTATACCAAATGACATTTAATTTTTACATGCCCTGTGACTTTTCTAAACTAGAAGTATAATCTTAAAATTTCACCTTAAAAAAATAAAGCAAATTATGTTTTTTCTCTTCTGAAAACAGGTCTATCCCATTTGAGAAGTTTTCTGGTGGGCGACCTCATCAGAAGGAAGGCTACTCATTCCTGAAACAGACGGCGTTTGCCATGTGTGAAGCGTGGAGGGCGTGAAGATGATGAGGCTGATAATATCATATATATGTATGTATTTATACCATATATACTACATATGTATGAGTCTATATAACATGTATAACCTTAGTATATAAAGTTGGCCAGGCGCGGCTGCTCACACCTGTAAAAGCAGCACTTTGGGAGGCGGAGGCAGGCAGATCACTTGAGGCCAGGAGTTCGAGACCAGCCAGGCAAAATAGAGAAACCACATCTCTACTAAAAATACAAAACATTGGCCGGGCACGGTGGCTCACACCTGTAATCCCAGCACTTCGAGAGGCCCAGGCGGGTGGATCACCTGAGGTCGGGAGTTTGAGACCAGCCGAACCAACACGGAGAAACCCCATCTCTACTAAAAATATAAAATTAGCAGGGTATGGTGGCGCATGCCTGTAATCCCAGCTACTCAG